ATGATGATGATGATGGTAGTGGTGGTAGTGATGATGGTGGTGGTGGTGGTGGTGGTGGTGGTGGTGGTGATGGCGGCGGTGAAGCTGTAGATGATACGATATTGGGACTCGTTACCTCGCGATGTTGTTGCTCCCACTGTTGCTGCACAGAATTATCAGTAATATTCGAGTTGTTTCTGAATTCAATACCCGATTCCTTAGTGGTCTCATTGGTGACTTGGTTATTATTCTTTGCGCATTCGTTTCGTGATAAGAATCTATTATTCATATTTTCAATATTCAAAGAATATCTCCTTTGAACATGACAAGTTTCATCCGTAGACTCGAGAGCTTCGTTGTTACGAAAAGTTGGAAGCTTATTCGTATCGGCCGGGCTCGTCCGATTGACGCTAATGTTCATAGATTTTTCAATGGGTTGCTGCTTGTTAATAGGAACCGCCAAAGGCGCTACGGAAGATCTCGCAGGCTTAATGGGTGTACACTGAGCAGCCAGATGACTCTTCCCCGATATGCAACTAATGTTATGATTAACATTGTCACTGTTTCCAATCGCGGACGTTCCGCTTTCCGCAACAGATCGCGGTGGTAATCTATGCCGTGCTGCGTCCATCTGAAAGTGTTGAAGATTCGGAGCTTGATTGAGACCGAAAAAAGTTGACAGGGTTGGAAAGACGGACGAAATATCTGAGTTTGATCGGTTGATGTTACTGAAAGACGGCGCATAGACAGGGGTACGCGATGGCGATGACGGTATCGAATAATCGTTGACACGATGAGCGGCGGGTGTCAAACAACCCGGCGGTGCCCGATAATATTTGTGACCGCTTACGAGCGTCACCACTTGACCTTGTTCGGAAATATTTCCTGATTGCATGTTATCTCTGCCTGTCGTAATTTTATTAGTCTTGTTAAGTTTCGTCACCGGTTGTGGAATTCTCAAAGGATGTATGTCTGTCTTCTTATTACCTCCACTCAAATCCAGAATTTCCTTGGATGATTCATGTTCTTTCTTCCGTTTACTGGTTGCCGCACGTTGATTCGCCGCTTCTCCACGATCACTCGCCACTGATGTTATTGTCTGTTTCGTTGCTGCCGTTGCCATCGATTTAGATTTCGGTGGTGTTGACATTCTGATTTGCCCCGTCTTAAGAGCTTTCAACACACGCGGATCGACCGAACAATCATTCAACGTAATACTGGGATTCACTTTGCCTAACGCGGCCTTCCGAATGTTGTCATTGGGATCGTTAGATTCAATGAATTGCCCGGAAGATCCCGGAGACTTGGGCGAGGTCAGCGTTATGCTCAAACTTGCCGGAATATTTAAGCCATAGCCGTCTACTAGTAGATCTCTAGTATCGTTGGAAATCAACGAACCGGTCGATACTTTATTCAGGTTATTTACGTTGTTCATGTTGGATACGTGACTCGATCCAGAATCATGATTTCCTACTATACTCGCTCTACTCGTAGAAACTACATGCTCCATGGAAAAAGTACGCGTTAGCTTAACAACAGGATTATAAAGAGAAACATTTTGTCTCTTATTAGTCTCTTGCCTTTGCGCGGTCTGTGGCGTTTTTCGCCGCTTCAGATCGGTGATTGGTACACCCGGAGGACACTTTCTTTTAACTGCCCCGGCTGGAACAATTGACGGATCGCTGGAGAAAGCGTATACATCCATTTTACCGATATGATTGCCGCTTGCAATATTCATACTGTTTGGACCCGTTCTCGAATTAGACAATCGTCCATCCGTCGTATCGTCGATTTTGTTTGTGTATGTTCGTGCGTTGGCAGAAACCTCAGCGATGCGTTTTGCGAGGGTGCTGCCGTTTGCATTAGAGCCAGTATTCTCGATGTTACTCTTCTTCTTGACTTCGTCGGTGTCTTTCTTAGAGAATTCTTCCATCTTTGGCATTGCATTGTTCTTTGAAAGAGATTTAGCGGTGTTCATCGCAACACTAATGTCTCGAACGGGAGACTTCAATTTATTATCGTCCAGCATCGATGGTTCTCTAGCAGTCAATTGGAAGCTTTGTAAGAATTGCTTCTTGTCCTGTTGCTCCGCTGGTTTCTTCAGTGCCGTTTTCGGTATAGTAACACCAGTAGCGGGAGGGGTCTTCTCAGATATTAAAGATCGATCTACGAAGGTTACTTTACGTCGTTGTTTCTCCTGTTTATTCGGCAATATCGACTTTGTCACAGAAAATTTCTCTTTGTCTCGTTGTAATTGCTGAATCAACGCGTTCGACGGTGACGATACATCTTTTTCCATTTGTCCGCAACGCAATAGGACATTACTGATGATTTTTGGCTTTTTCGCGCTGCTACTCTGCGGCGGCGAACACTGCTTTAGCGTTATTTTCACACCATTAGAATTCACGACACTAAACTCGGAATTTGTAGGATTCTTGGCATCCGTTATAGAAACAGTGGACGTATTTTTTAATACTTCGTATCTTCCATCTGAATTCTTCAATATTTTAATCGGGCTCTTTATTTGTTTGTTTGAATCATTGCATGCTGTCGAGGGAGACATATTCATCCCTGATAAAGATGTATTCATTTCTGATGAAGGAGACGCATTTACTCCTGATGCGTTCATTCCTGAGGCATATGTATTTGTTCCTAATAAAGAAAATGCGTTTGATGAAGGAGACACATTCATTCCTGTTGAGGAAGATGTATTCATTCTTGATGAAGGAGATGCATTCGTTACTGTCGTAGTTGTCGACATTTTCGTAGCATTTGTTAACGTTGATGACGTTGTCGACACAGTCGTCACCATTTTATTTGCTTCGTTTTTCTCTACTGTCATCATTTGTTTGCGATCCATGGGCAAACTTGTATCGTTGTTGGCAACTTTATTCAAATCTTTTGCCAATGCTATTTCAACATTAGTTCTTACAGACTTAATCTCTGATCTAGAAGTTGCTGGATGGCTAACGGGATTGTTTTCTAAATTACTGTCGTTCTGCGTTTCAGTCGATGGCAAACAGTCTCGAGCTCCGAGTCCTGGAGTCGACGGTCTTTGATGCAACGGTGCTTCGAGTCTTTGTTCTTCTTGCGCTACTCGATAGAAAAACCTCATCGGTGCAATCTGCACAAAAAGTTAAAATTGAAATCTAGTAATAAAAATCCCTTTAAATAATAAAAAGTATTAATTATGAAGTCAATATAATTACAAATATTATCATTTGAATAAGAAAATAATGAAATAATATACAAACCCTTTTCCATGCATAAATATAAGCAACATCCATGAGAGTCCAATGTTCGGGAAGTGTTGCACGTCGATGATGTATCTCGATAGTATACCTCGTTATATCAACACTATATTTCATCGCTATGAATTTCTTCAAGTGTGCGACAGTTACCAAGGCCGGACATTGCAAATATCTTCTGTTAGCGATATTATAATTATTGTTATTATTGTTAGTATTGTTACTATGGACGTTGCTCGAATTGTTTGTGTCCATGTCGTTAACGTTCAATATAACCAATGGATCTGCTCCTGGCGGTAGATACTCCAAGCTCAAACTCACTACATCTTCCGGATTGAACATTAAACATCCACTTACACCCTCGCCGCGTTGCTCCGGTGTAGCCGAGTTTGCTAATTTTAGAAAATTATGATTTTAAAATTATGATTTAGAATATCATTTATTAATCACGTTAGAGAATCTTGCGCGTAATATAAATATGAACTATTTTGAAATTGTCAATTACCATGTTCCGGATGCTTCTTGTAAAATTCCTTCCTCTTTAGCATTTCTCTATGATATAATCCCGGCACCAATTTATATACAATCTCTTGTAGCGTCTTGTCAGCTCTGTAAAAAGATTGCAATCTTAAACAATTTCTAAAAATAATCTAATCACTTATTGTTATTACGAAAATACAAATAGATGAGTTAAATTCTTGTGTAATTATCAAGAAATTATGATCATACTTGATATTTGGTTTAGCCTTGTTGATCGCATGTTTGCACGATGGACAATGCGCTGCAGTATTGAGATATTTCAAGATGCAGCTTCTGCAAACTGGATGACAAAAACGCGGCATAATTATATCGATATTAATAAAAAAACCTGAACTAAATCTCCACTTTACTTACAAGAGTGCAAACACTCCACCACGGTTGTGGCATCAATGAGGTAGCCCCGGCATAATGGACAGATTAAATGTGGATTGAAATCGCGTAAAAGTAATTTTTTTCCAATACTAGCCATTTCTTCGTTGTGCAAACAAATCGTAAAACACCAGGTCTGTAAAAAGAAACGGAATAATTATTAATTTATTAATTTCAGACTTTAATATAACGTTTAATATAACGTTCGATTATACACAAACATTTGGACAACTTTTTGATACGTATATATCTTTTATTTTCTAACTGTAATTATTTTAGAATTTTTTAATAAAATTTTAATCTTGGATACATATATTTATAGTAGCATATTTCATAATCATTTTTCTCAATTTTTTGTTATAAAACTCTAATTGTAATGTGTTTTTTATAAACATCGTATTGTATCGTAAATTATAATGCAATGTGTGCATGTGTAACAACAATGAAAAATATAACCGCTTGAATTTTTCAAGTTTATTTGTATACATTTTTATTCCAACATTTATTTATTATAATTACATAAAAAAGAGAGAAATTAAATAATATTATGTAAAAGCAAAACTACAACGAGAATAGAGAATAGAGTTATACGATATTTTTTCTCAAAGGAAATACATATTGTAATATAACTTTAACTAAAAATGACGAAGAATGCGATTCTTCATTGGTATTGTCGAAAATTATATATATATATATATATATATATATATATATTC